TGATATTAGGGTAAGTTTTAGGCATGCCGCATACCACAGTCACTCCCAAACACATGTTGGCCGTGTCTCGAATGAATATAGTTGGCCGGGCTATATTGATCCTAGACACGACTACATAACTGCCCAGGTTTAACCACAGTATGCAACACCCATTTACTTATGTTTTATTCTACTTGTATTTACGGATCTCGACGGTTCGGTATACTTGTATAGTTTTGAAAATACTTATAGTTTGATGATACTTTTAATTCAGAGCACTTAGGCCCTTTAGTGTTTATAGTTTTATACCATGTAAGGTTTGGTACACTTTATTCACTATAAACAAGGGCGGAAACATTTCCGGGGTTGACTCCATGTTGAGTATCAAATCCAATGTACATAGTAAGTAAAGTAGAACAACCATACATTACATATTGAAAAGTTTTACAGTTGTTACAATAGTGAAGTTATACAGTTGTGATACATAGTATATAATAACAAAATGAACTGATCTTCTACGCACTCCAACCTGGAACAAAATGATCTTCAGATACCTGTTCTAATGCTGACCTGAGAACACAAGCGGTTTGAAAATCAGCATAATGCTGGTGAGTTCATAAGTAGTTTTTGTTTTATGAAAATGTTTGAGTTTCCTTTCTGTTTCTGAAATTTTACGCACACCAAGAAAATCCCATATTTTCTTAAAAAGGTTGGTTATTGTTTCTCAATATGTAAAGTAAAGTTGTACACTGAAAACATGTTTACCCTTGTGAAAATGTACAGTTAGGTTATCTGGTTGGATATACTGTTCTGGTTAGGTACCAATGTATTCACAGTAAAGTCCCATACTTTACTGATTGTGTTTTACCAATTGTGAAAGATGTAATGTTATCCGGTTTGTTACCCTTTTTCTGGTTATGTAAACGTTCCCCAGGAAAGTCCCATACTTTCCTGACTGTTGGTTATCATTGTAAAAGATGTATTACGTTATTCATTATTACTATAGAGTAAATATCTGTTATCCTAATTGCGAGTTCCATAACCATAGAATAGACTAAATGTGGCAATATGTAGTCCACATCACCTTATGACTCTCATCACCCTTGAACCTTTCGGTTCGGCTATAGCTAGCAGCCAGGTGTGTGGTAGTCAGCCCCGTATAGATCTATACACTCAAGTCACGCTCTCTAAATCCCAGAGATTCTGGTTACGAGTGTAGTCCTCCACTCGCGTATCTCTGTGGAGTGTTTGCCGATGACGTGTCTCCAATCATACAGGATTAACAAATTTACTAGTAATAATATGATACTCCTCTACTCGTGTATTTCCGTTGAGTGTTACCGAGGACAAAACAGTGTACATGTATTATGTTCAAATGTTCTAATGTCATGCTTTTAACTGATAAAATGTGGAAAGGCATTTGTGAAATATATGAAAAACATAACAGTTTAAAACCCGTTTCACAAATATATGTTTACGTGATCTGCATGTTGAAACGGCTATCAGTTGTAACGATCAGTGTTAAAAGCATATAAAATGTGAAATACACACATGAAAACAAGTTTTGAGTACAAGAAACCTCTTGTACTTTGCTTGTGTTCCCCCCCCCCCCTTAAAAACAGGTAAAAACAGTGAAAAAGAGTAGGGGTATGAACTCACCGCTTAATGTAGGGTTCGAGTGTCGACGGATGCCCTGAACGTCTATGGTCCCTATTATTCATGTGATGACATATAGATGAGTTAGAATTAAGGTGTTTCATGACTAAACATGATAGGAAAACACCCTTAGGGCTTGGAATTACTAAGAATAAGTACCCTAGGATCCAGGCTTAAAGATTTATGCAAGTTTAGGGCCAAATGTGGGCATTAAAGTGAGTGTATGGCCTTGAAAATGAGTGTGCGGCTGGGGTGTGCGGCCAGGAGTGTGTGTGAGGCTGCACACAAGAGTATGCGGCCGTACAGAGTGTGTGTGCGGCCGTACACAGGGGTGTGCGGCCGTACATACCTCATTTGAGTCCATTTGATGATTTTTGAAGTGTTTGCTCTTCACACTTAGGAGGTTTGAAGGTATGCTGCCCCATATGAAGGTGTGCGGCCGTACACCTTCAAGGGATGATGAACATGATGAATATGATAAGTTTTAATCTTGGGATTCAAGTGTTTACCACTATACTTAGCTTGAAGATGGAGTAGATCACAATTTGGAAGCTTTCCAAGTATTCTTGGTTGATGATTTTAGAGAGAGAAAGTAGAGAGAGGGAAGAGAAACATCCAAATGAATGAATGAAGGGGTATCCATCCATATAAGGGTTTGAGTGTGAGGTTAAGTGTGTGTGCGGTTGGGTGTGCGGGTGCACACACAAATGTGTGGCCGCACACACCTTATTTGGTGTGTTTGGTCCGATTTTGTGATACTTAAGCACTTTTCAACCCTTCCTAGAGCTTATATCCAGGTTATACTAAGTCTAGAGCATTGAAATGGATCCACAAGATGTAACAAAAGATAATGAACTCGAGTTTTAGTGCTGAACACAGATCAATTACATGGCTAGAAGTTTCGGGTTGTCACATCTCATATTAAATTCCTTCTGATTTAAGAGATACTGAATACTTTTATGATCAGTGAAAAGTTTGCACTTCGTATCGTAAAGATAATGCCTCCATATGCTCCATCACTAGCCATTACCATGACCAAGACCTCCAAAAAAATAGAAAAATCTTCAAAGCAGGGAGCAAAACTACCAATATGGAAAATTATTATGGTCTCTTAGATCTCAAAGTTTACTATTCATTTGGCATTCCACAATTATATGTATATAATTGCACAAAAGAACCCAGTTTTAAGCATGAAAAACTGTCTTATTAAGTTCATATGACCCGGATGAAAAAAGTGGGTTCCATTAAAGTTTTCGCATAAGTCCCATCCTATAACAAACCGGGTTCTGTAAGTCATTTAACGTTTTATTTTATTTTATTTTATTTATTTATTTATTTATTTATTTTTGTACATTCTATAGGGTCTCAAACCATAGCTTAGGCGTTAGGGACATTTTAAAGGGAGAATTTTGTATATACCCTTATTAAACGTTAAAATATCATATTTACCCAACGGACTATCTAAATATTATATTTAACCTTCTTAAACATTAAAATATCATATTTACCCAAAATCATTTATTAAATATTTTAAAATTGTTAAAATTGAAAATAATAATTAAATTTACCTTATTACCCTTAACTTCTAAATCATATAAACTTCATCAGCAACTAATTTGAAGTTTTCCGTCGGAAACAATAAATGTTACACTGTGTTCATTCTTTAAAATAAAAACTCATGAAACACAAAGAGTCGAATTTTGACCCGTACACACAAAATATATTATAATACACTCAATTTATTTATCCGTTGGAGCACACACAACCACATATAACAAAAATTCCAATTGGTAACAATCCGCTTACCAATCGGCGATAGCTATTTAAATTTTTTCTTTTTTCATAAATACAAATTCTACAGGAACTCATAGTTTAACCTCCCTTTCTATTTTTGAAAAAACAAAAATTCAAAATAAAAGAGTAACTAGCAATTGACATTAAGCTTTGAGAAGTTAACAACAAATCTAGAAGATGAAGTCCGTGTGATTTAGAAGTTAGGGATAGTATGATCTATTTGGTTTTTATTTTTTGAATTTTAATGATCTTAATATATAAAGAGATTTTAAAATATTAAAAATATATATTTAAACAAATATGATATTTTATAAGATTACAAAGGACAGATAATATTTAAATATTAAGTTGGATAAATATGATATTTTAACGTTTAGTAAAAATATATATGAATTTCTCCCCGTTTTGAAACCATTTTGGTGGGTTTTAAAGACGAGCCCATAAATTAATCAAGGCCGTTGACCATTACAATAAAATAGAAAATAATTCAAAAACTACTTAAAAAATATTAATAACTTTTGCCTTCCACATGGTTCTAATAGAAAGTAAGGGCTGGTCCATCGCATATGAATGCGTCTTGATCATTAGTAGTTTTCAGGTGATCGATTGGGATCAATATTCAATTAACTCCATGAGCTTTTAAAGTTGAGCTTTATGTTATGTCATGTAGACCGAGGTAGACATTCATCATATGGGAGAGAACATCCATCGCTTTCATAGTCTTAAAAGTTGTTTGTGGGAAACCTAATTTTAGACGCTTTTTATTATCGTATAATTGTTTGTAGTAAACCTACTTTTAACACTTACTAATGATAGAATTTTCAATAAGAAGCACATTTCTCCTACCATGACCGCGGACTACGTTATAAACATCGTGTTTAATTAGTTGTTTTATAGGGGTAATTTGGGCAATTAAATTTGAACTGATTGAGTATGTTGTACTTTTAATAATTTGTTGTAATTGTTTGTTTTTGTTTTTTTTTTTTTTGGAACCGATAAATAATATATTAGAAAAGAGGCCAAAATAGCAAGAAACTATAGGCCAAAAGTACAAACTGCAGATAAGAAATATTTACATACAATAGGAAGGACTAGAGCACCAGTCAATCCATTTATAAGAACAATTAACTCTCCTATGTTTAATCCATGAAAACACCATGGATTGAATGTTCCCCGCCAGTTGGTTGGGTGATACCCGAATCTTATTAAAGACAAAATTGCACCTTGCTCTCCAGATTAGCCATGCAGTACCATAGCAAATGCTAATTAGGTTCCTCCTCTTCTTTAAGCATCTTCCCCATGTAAAGCAGAACCTCACCACGTCACTTATATTCCCAAATTGAGGATGAGGAATGCCAAACCACCTTAACATCTCCTCCCACACCTTTGCTGCCATCGGGCACTTGATCAAAGCATGATCAGTATCTTCTCTTTCCAGATCACAGTAGCTGCACATAACTGAGTTGAAGTTGATTCCTCTCTTTTGGAGAGCACACGCAGTTGGGATACCATTTAAGACCGCCCTCCAAATGAAACACCGTACCTTAGTTGGGACCTCCGGAATCCAATCGATGTTCCCTCCTTCATTACTCGAGCCCACCGTATCTATCAGTTCCCTTACCATATTGACATGGTAAACCCCATCCCCCGAGATGCTACATACCCACCTGTCTGGTTGGGAGTTTGGTAGGAATGATTCCACTTTGAGAGCCAATTCAGCAAATTCACATGCTTGACAACTAGAGGATGGACTCGATTTCCATTCCCATGTTATTCCCCCGGTGTTTATCCTGTCCCTTATTTTGCACTTTTTAGTTTTCTCTAGCTTGTACAATATTGGGAACATTGACTTTAAATTTTCGTTGTCCAGCCATTTATCTAACCAAAACAACGTGCAGTCACCATTACCCACCTGTTTTTTTATTACTTCATCAAAATTGATTCCAACTTTTAAGAACTCGCTTTTTACACCTGCTACATTGTTCCAAACACCCGGAATGGACTTTTTTGAGATACAGTCAGCAGCTTTATTCTTGAGATTATGGATACCCATAATAGACTCCCTCCATAGACTTGTACCCTCATTGCGCAACCGCCACCACCATTTTTCGATTAGTGCCAAATTCAAAGCTTTAAGTGATCCCATCCCCATACCACCAGTTACTCTAGGAGACACCACCTTTTGCCAAGAAACCCAGTTGATTTTCCTCTTCCCATCATCATTCATACCCCATAAGAATTTCCTTCTAATCCCTTCCATAGTATTTATGACTCCAGGGGGTGCAACAAACAGAGAGAAATAATATGTAGGTAGATTACCAAGAACCGCCTTACATAGAGTGAGACGTCCCCCCATTGAAAGTGTTTTTGACTTCTATAAGGATAGTTTGGCCTGGAATCTATCAATAATCGGTCTCCAGTTTTTCTTTAATCTCATGTTCCCTCCTACCGGAACACCAAGGTAGTTGAAGGGGAGTTTGGCCGGTTCACATCCGAGGGGAGTGGCATACCGTGTAACCTCATGCATATCTACTCCAACACCAATTACCCATGATTTGTGGAAATTAACCTTAAGGCCAGAAGTTACGTGAAAGCACCTTAGAATTCTTGCGAGATTCCTAATATTTTCTTTATTCCATTCACCCATGAATAGAGCATCATCCACGTAGAATAAATGAGAAATAGATGTCTCTGAATGTGGGAGGGATATCCCAGTAAAAATGCCTTTCTCACAAGCTGTGTTTATTGCAATATTAAGCCCCTCCATGGCAATAATGAAAAGGAAAGGTGACAGTGGATCGCCCTGTCTAACTCCCCGCTCCATTCCGAACTCCTTTGTGGGTGACCCATTTACTAGCACAGAAGCTCTTGTAGAGCGTAAACAACCTTGAATCCAACCTCGCCATTTATCTCCAAATCCCAGTTGCATTTGAATCGAGTCAAGGTATTCCCAATTGACTGAGTCAAATGCTTTGTCAAAGTCCACTTTGAAGAGCAACATTTTCTTTTTTGCTTTCTTACTCCATGAGCACAGTTCATTTACAATCAGCGGACCATCCAGGATATTCCTTCCTTCAACAAAAGCAGTTTTCACCTCTCCAATACACTTGCCAATAACCTTTTTTAGTCTGTGAGCCAAGGTTTTTGCAATTATCTTGTATAGACAGCCAATAAGACTTATTGGTCTATAATCTCCAAGCGTGATCGGGTCCTTGGTCTTTGGTACTAACGTAATGAACGAAGAGTTGCATCCTCTTCCAAGTCTCCAATAATTTTCAAAGTATTTAACAACATTTGTTATATCATCTTGCATCTCCGCCCAGAACTTTTTAATGAATTGGAAAGAAAAGCCATCAGGGCCCGGCGCCTTTTCGTTCCCGCATGCCTATACAGCACGTCTGATTTTTTCCCTGGTGAATGGGGCTTCCAACTGGGATTTGTCAATTGCATCCAACGGGTTGAATTTATTGCTGAACAACTTTGGTCTCGACGGCCATTTCTCCAAGAACTTTCTTTGGTAAAATGAAAAAATAGTCTCTGTATCTGTGGTCCAAGATCCATTGATTTGTAGCCCCATTATGCTGTTCTTTCTAAGCTTGTTATTCACATATCCATGGAAGAAAGATGTATTCTCATCGCCGTCTATCACCCACTTTATTATGGATTTTTGTTTCAGATCCAAAGTCGATAATTTCTCCATTTCAATTAATTTATGTATTCCAGATCGCCGGTCATTCATCTCCAATTCACTAAGTTGTCAGCATCACTGAAGGGTTTGGGAAGACAATAACACCATATGAAGATTTATCAAATAGGGTGGACTTGTCGTGCCCAAAGATTGGAATACTCACCTCAAGGAAAACCAGAGTAAATGAAGAATTACAAGTTGCCATTGACGGGAGGGTCTTAAAAATTGGTATCATCGAATTTGATGAAGACTGGTTTCCTTTTCGATTTGACAAGTCGGAGGATTACTATGAGACACAGGATGAGGACGACGAAGAAGACAATGAATATGGGAATGAAGAAGAGGATGGGATATCGGACACGTATATGGGGAACCTAGACGATGAGAAGGAAGAAGGTGAGATATCACCGGAACTACAAACGGAAAAGAATGTGATTCAATCGGAAGGTGGACAAGCGATAAACACAGAGATCGGAGATGAATTTCCGACCAGACAACCGGTAGTCAGAAGTAAGGTAAACGAAACGTCGGAAGAAGTGCAACGGACACTTGGTGAACAAATGATGGTGCGGGATTCTATGTTGACTGAACACGTAGCATCGCCTAGAATCTTGGAGGCATTAATGGATAACGGTAACATCCCTAGTCTAATCCACAACTCAAAGGACAACTGCCCTGGCCTAGGTATGGAATCAAACCCAAACTTAAATGGGCTTTCTTATGAGCTACCCCCAATTGGTTGTTTTGGGCCGTTTTCGTCTCCTATTGTATCAAACAAAGGCATACGCCAGTCATCTGAAGTATGTAGTTCACTGGGGAAAAGGTGGAGACTAGAGCATGACGAACCTAGACGACCTATCCTTTTAATAAATCCGATGACTGGCCTCTTTGACCTTGACGTACCCCCATCACACATGGCTTCCCAAACGGCGGTAGTCAAAGAAGTCGATCACGCTCCAATCGACATTAACATAGTCCCGTCTGAAAGTCATGGAAACCTGAATGAAGACGTGTCTGACGATTTCTCCTCTTCTTCAACTGAAATTAGAAAGACGGTAGAAATTGGGAATGCATTAGGGTTTGAAATTAGCCCCAATGACCCAATTTTAAAGGGAGTAATGGGTGAAATTGGCGAGGCTGCAGCACCACAATGAATTGTATCAGCATTAATGTATGTGGAATAGGCGAAGACTACAAGGTCGAATGGGTGAGGAGATTAAAGACGCAACATCGTGCCTCCTTTGTGGGGGATACAGGAGACACAATTGGTGAATGTGAATGATATAGATGTCGCAGGATGTTGGGGCTCAATAGATTTTAGCTACTCGACAATTCAATCCCAAGGTAGGTCTGGTGGTCTAGTAAGCATTTGGGACAGCAGGATCTTCAAAGTCTCTGAGATCATAAAATCGAGATATCTACTGGCAACAATTGGGAGATGGGAAGGAATTCAAGGGGACACTATCTTAGTGAATGTATATGGACCACATTCTAGCACAGAGAAAAGAAAGCTTTGGGATAAATTATTAGAAATAAAGAGGAATAAAGGAGGTACTTGGGTGGTGTTTGGTGATTTCAATACTATTAGGCGGTCAGACGAATGCTACAATTCGCATTTTTGCCCTCAATCTGCTTTTCATTTCAATAGTTTCATCAGGGAAGCAGGCCTTAATGATATTCGAATGGGTGGTTTGCGTTATACCTTCTGTTGCCCAACTGATATCAAATTAAGTAAACTTGACCGCTTCCTGGTTTGTAATAATTTTCTAAACGTCTTCCCCTCAGTATCTGTTACTGCACTCCCAGGGGATGTATCTGATCACAGCCCTATTGTATTAAAAACTGTTGCACCCGACTTTGGAAAACCCCCATTCCGATTTTTCAACTCATGGATGCAGAAAGAAGGCTTTGATAATGTTTTTGTCAGGGCCTGGCTCAATTTTAAGGGGTATGGTACCCCGGATTACTATCTGATGGCCAAGCTCAAATTCTTGAAGAATGAACTTAAAAAATGGAGAGCAAATGAATACCCCAAGGAGATAGTTGAGTTGAAGAGAATCAAACAGCAGGTACATAATTGTTTGTTTGTTGTTTGTTTTTTTTTCCTGCTTTTTTCTCCTAGACAACTGCCGTTTATTTATAAAAATCGTTTTTCAAAAAAAGAAAAAAAAATCTAGAATCTACTTTGGCTCATGTTTTTAAATCTAGAAAAACTAAAGGGATATTACCTAAACTAATAATTATGAACTAGCTTGTTAAAAAAATGACGGTTTTGTTATAAAAAAAAAAGTAAGTGTTTTATTAGTTCATAATTATAAATTTTTTAGATGACCGATTTGGGTTATATATATATATATATATATATATATATATATATATATATATATATATAGAGAGAGAGAGAGAGAGAGAGAGAGATATCAAATGAAAACCACAAAAGAATAAAAACCATAAGGACTTCAAGTTTTAGTTTTATAATTAAAGGTATATTTGTCATTTATCAAATACATTTTATAAATATTAAAAGAAACATTTTCATCTACCAAGTTTTAAATAATAATAATAATAAAAATAATAATAATAATAAACGAATGACATTATTGTAAATAACAACACATCATAGCATAGTTTCACAAACAACTTAGTAGATGTTGCAAATTAGATTTAAAAGATAGACCTGTTTTATTTTTTCATAGTTATAAAATATCATCATCTCCATCCTCTCCTTTCTTCTACCACCGGCAACGGCGATAGGAGCCTCCAACTATTGTTGTCGATGGTGTCCGCTTTACCATCGCCTCTTTGTAATCCAAGTGCGTATTGTCGATGTTTGCTGATGTCCGCTTTTTGCTCTAGATCCACTATATCGAAAAACCAAAGAACCACTAGATGCATTGCTAGGATCATCGTCCTCCACCTCCAGATCTCCGGTTTATGATGATAATCGCCACACTACAACCGATGAGGTCAAATTTATAGTCGCATCAATTCAAGCTACATTACCTTTGACGAAGACATCACTTTCATTATCATCCCCCGACGTTGTCTCATGTAAAAATTGCTAAAAATTGGTCAGTGTTCAGTGGTCAAACATTGCAAACCGTTATACATTAAGGACCAATTGTTTATAATTTTATGTTTATAATGTATATTAATGTCACACCCCCAAACCGGAACAGCGGAAACGTTCGGGGGCGGATGACTTCATGTGGTAGCGTAACAAATGAATATATAATAAAGAAAGCAATACAACCATCATATATATAATTCAAAGTTTACATTGTTTAAAAGAGTACATGTTCAAAACCAATTACAATATGATGTCAAAATATGAATTTAAATTAGTACCGCGACATTCCTTCTTCAAAACTTGTTTGTTACCTGTAATTACTGAATCCCTGGGACATACAAGTAGTTTTGAAAGAGTAGATAAACATTTACGCTGATGAGTTTCATAAGTATTAAATGACAATGTTTGTATGAAATGAAATGTTTTTGTTATTGTTTGTTTATTCCTAGAAAATCCTATATTTTCTACTAGTATAAATGTAGCCTTCTTTCAAGACCAATATTTGTTTCTAGTAAATGTATGTACGTATAAAATTTACAATACGACTGAAAAAACCCCGTAAATCATTGTGTTTTTAATACTCTATGTGAGTTTTATAACCATGCTATTGACAAGGGATGCCTATACACAACGTTCTTTAGGCGTTGGAATGTTCTGACGTTTGTCACCCCAAATGGTGAACTATAGCTAACAGTCAGGGCGCAGGTTGTCAAGCCCCTGTAGATCTATACACAAACACCATGCTCCCCCTCCAAGGGATTTTGATATATAATACAGGACTTGAAATGTATACTCGAACGTACGTGAAGTTAATGTCTCACAAAACTTAGTATAAAACAGATTTACGTGTGAAAACGTTCGTTCGTTATTGTATATGAAAGTAGCTTCTTGAAATAGTATTTCCATGTATGTAAAAGTTCGTAGTATTCTCGTAAAACTATACCTATTATAGTTTCCTAAAAGTGTGTTTCGTTTGTATAATAAACCCTCAGTGAAAATGTTTACTTGTTATGAAAAGTGTAGTTTTTGTAGTGCCAAAACCGACACATAGAAATGTAGTATAAGCAAAGTATCTGATTTATATAAATACATAAATCATTTCTCATTTCAAAAGATAAAATGTTGTTGTGATATAATTTGCATATGAAAGTTTCCCTATAATAGTTATAAATCTCATATGATTCCTTTGATAAAACGCGTATAGTGAAAGTTTATATAACACACAATAATAATCGAGTGTTTTACTTGTATTCCCCCCCCCCCTAAAAGCATGTAAAAGTACTCATAAAACATTTAAAAGTGTGAATTATAGGGGTATGAACTCAATTGAAAGATCGGTGGTTGCGGGATGAAAACCGGACAGAACTTCGGCTCGAGAAAGTGGATTTCCTCGGGATTCTCAGGAATCTTGAGAGCACAAACGACCTTCGGGACTTGAGTAAAGTGATTGGGGCTTCGGGGTAGCACGGGCACGGAAAACGAGGCAAGAACGTAAGAGAAATGAGAGAAATGGTTCATTTTCTTTAGAACCCCGCATCCCTTTTATAGGAGCTGGGAACCGACCTCGTACGCTGGGTGTACGCATGTACGCTGGGCGTATGCGTGCGTCATGCATGACCGAGTCCTCGACTGCCTCGGAGCTCGGATGGGACGGGGCATAGCCTCGCATAGGCGCGACGTGGATGATCCAAGGCCAAGGCCTCGCGTACGCTGGGCGTACGGCCTTACGCTGGGCGTAACTCGGTCCTATCTGATGACTCCCCTTTGGATAATACCAAGGGTTTTTAATTAAAATTTATATTTTAATTATTTAATAAACTTTAAAATTTCATATCTTCTTCATACGAACTCCGTTTTCGACGTTCTTTATATCCACGCGAAGGTGAGACCATACTCTACAACTTTCGTTTAGATTCTATTGGCAAATTTCGAAATTATTTTTATTATTTATTTTTAAAACGTCGCGGTAAGAAAATTTCTTTAGAAATTCATAACTTCTTTATCTGACGTCAGTTTTTGCCAGACTTTTTACCGCTGAAATACCATTGTCGAGACCTTCGATTCTCGTTCAGGTCATTCCGGCCAAAAGTCGCTCGATCTCCGATTCGAGTTTTTAGCCGTCTGTCGTTAAGCCGAACTTGAGAAATTCCTAACTTTCTTATACGAAGTCGGATTTGGGCATTCTTTTTACGTACGATCACGGTTTAATGACATCTAACATAATAGGTAATTTAATTAGTGATTTTTGGATATTTTATTTTCGAAGTAAATTTTATTATAACGAACGTGGTTATAATACTTGACATTTTTAGGTCGTTTACATATAGTTGAAATATCGGGTTGTCACAATTAAAAATATTATACTCATAATTACTTTTAAAACATCTCGAACTGCTCAAAACATTTATTGTTTAATATCAAATCGAAAATGTCGAAAAACTAAATTTATTTGTGATGCTAAAAATTAAATTTTGCACAAGTTATAAAAATTAGTATTTATCTGATTTTCCTGAAACAAGTTGTTCAATGCTTCGTTTGGAATACCTACGAGCCTCGTAAATTATTTCTGAGCTTGTTTTTGAACTCAGACTATAGGTTATTATTTTATTTCATTTTTATCACATTTTTAAGCTCGACCAGATTCAGACTCACAAAAATCTTTCGAATTTGAATCAATTAATCGCAAAACATTAAACGTTAATTCACAGAGCTCGGTATATTGGAATTGAGTTATGTACGCATTTTTGAATCACCACGATTGAGACAATAAACATGCACATTCAGAAATTTTTTCATATGTTGGGATCTATCAATACACGAACCAAGAAACGGAACAACATCACTAAAATACTTGGTATGTATTTAATTTTCAAAAATATCTTCTAAAGATCATCTTGACTTTCAAAATGAAGTGAAGGATTAAAGATGAAGCCACCTTCATCTTCCCGGGAAAATGAATTATAAGCCCAAATGAAGTTTTCAAACTGTTCAAAAAACCCCAATTATGTTTTATCTGTTCAAGAAAACTCAACGAACTTAACATTTTGTCTAAAAAAGCTCAACTAACCTACACTTCTCATTTAG